ACGCGTTTTCCTGGCACTTCTGAATTTCAAGGAACAATCCATTTATACAAAATTATACATACTTACAAGAACGATTTTTGAAATTTGATCCCTCTTTGAAATACTATCTATTCACGAATTACTTACTGACGGTATAAATAAATTGAAATAAACTAAATATATTTTATTAAATTATTGAATATTGTTTATAAACAAAAACAATAGAAATTTACCAACGATTCAACGAATTTTATTTTTCCTAGCCGTGTTATGATTTTTTCCTTATCTTTTTTTGATGTACAGGGTGGTCCCGAGGTACTGGGCCAAAATTCATGGGTAGATTCCCCAAGGAAAAATATTGCGATTTAGCCGACCTTACCTTAGTCCAAAAGTTGTTAGTTAAAGTTAACACAGGGTGTTAAATGTAAAATATTATTTCAGTTTTTTTTTAATTTATTCCCTCGTTTATTCCTTAACAAATGCAAATATCCTCACAAAATTTTGGGGTTTGGAGTTCTTTGAGTAGAGGAATTGAAATCTGTTCACATTTTGGTTAAAGTTCATAGAGGGCGCTAGCTGCAGTAGATTGAATGTGTTAAAAACGACATAATTTTTTGTACTTTAAGGTATCTCATCTTAGATAACAAATTCTTATTTTTCAACTTTTTTTACACAAAAAAGGTATATTTTATTAAAGTAGCTATCTCGCACCGTTTTTGAGATATTTGGCTTTGAAACTTCCAACGCTGTTGCATTAAATTACAATTAAGTACCTACAGGTATTATTAATTTAGCGATAAAGTTTGTTAAGTAGGATTTGGACGAAAATCAAATAATTGGCGTCTTCCACTTGCCTTATTGCTGTCATTTGTATGCTAATTTCTATTAAGTATTATTCGTATCTAATTAAAATTACATCTTAGCTTACAAATTAAATTGTATACTCGTATACATAAATGTGAGAAAGAATGCCGAGGCTTTCGTTTTTGGAATTACATGAAATCAGTTGTTTATGGAGAAACTATAAACACTTGAGAAGAACTTTATTAGCAGGTTTTAAATGCTGCAAAGTCATTTCGCATTAAGGATTTATACTTTAAAATAAGACAATCTTTTAATAAACGTGTTGATAAATGTACTGAAGTTAGAGGTGGACATTTTGAGCAATTATTGTCAAAAAGGCATATATTTTTACTAATATTTACTATTTTACTGTGCATTACAATTTTTAATTCTAAATAAACCCTTGTTTTTAACATTTCTAAATTATTTTAATTATTTCAACTATTAGTATTGGAAGTTTCAAAGCCAAATATCTCGGAAACGGTGCGAGACAGCTACTTTCATAAACTCTACCTTTTTTGTTGGAAAATAAGAATTTGATACAAAAGATGAGATACCTTTAAGTACAAAAAAGTTATGTCGTTTCCAACAACCTCAATCTACGGCAGCTGGCGCCCTCTATGAACTATAACCAAAATGTGAACAAATTTCAATTTCTCTACCCAAAGAACCCCAAACCCCAAAATTTTGTGTAGATATTTGCATTTATTAGACTATCAACTTTTGGACTACGTAAGTTCGGCTAAATCGCAATATTTTTGCTTCGGGAATCTACCCACGAATGTTGGCCCATTACCTCGGGACCACCCTGTATATTATATTTCGCGAGTTATACGTGCGAATCCGAAATCCGGGACCGTACAGCTAATTCCCGGTACAATCACAGAAAATCCCGACCATGCCCATGTGGCAATCCTATATAGTTCTACCAGATGCCGTGAAAAAACATATAAATAAACTTACCGAATTGACAAGCTGCAGTCAAGGTTCTCAGAGTTTTTAAAGTTGAGGTCAAGTTTTTAAAAATACTAAAACATTGTCACTGGTATCACAGAGTATCACTCATCACTTTTAATGTTCTTTTTTGAAAATTAAATCAATACGGCGTTGTTTCGTACTGGCAAACATTTCAATTACCTTTTCATTGAAATTAATGTCATTTTTAATTAAACTATTCTCTATAGACAACATGGAAAGTGCCGATAACCTGTCCTCACCCACTGAATTTCTTAAAAAGTTTTTCACTCGTTTCAAAGTTGAGAAGCATCGTTCCG